TTAATGGGGGGCGTGGCCTGGACGCGATGGTGGAGAGTCGCACTTAGGCTGAGCTGCGTCTGGACCCACTGCATCCGCACCCATCCGACCTGATTCCAGCAAGCCAGCTACCACTGAACCATGGCAGGGAAGCGGAAGACCTCCACAAAGCTGCCAAAGACCCCAAAACTGCCGAGGGGATCGCTGGAACACTTCCTCCGCGATCGGCAGACATGCGACCGGTCCGCAGCCAAGATGGCGCCCGGCAGTACCCATGCTGCCGGCTCGCCCTCAGGTATGCCTCGTCCCACACCGATCCCCCCACTCTTCCTAGACGGTGACCCCCAAGGCCCGGGTGGATCCCCGCGATCGGGGTATTCAGACACTGCCACGTCTGATGGGGAAGACCCGGAATGGGACTTGAAAGCCGTCCTCCGGTCCCTGCCCACTAAAGCAGACCTCCAGGAATTTGTCTCTCAGGTGGAAGGAGCGCACAGGCAGGCCATCACTGATCTCCGGGCCGATACTTCCCAGCTAGGCCAGAGAGTGGAGAGGCTTGAGACACAATACTCTGAGGCACTGCATACCATCTCCCTCCTAAAGGACAAGATCCAAAAGCAAGATTCTAGCATTGCAGTGCTGACTAACCAATTAGACGACCAAGAGAACAGGAGCCGTCGCTCTAACATCCGACTGCGAGGCCTCCCTGAGGCGACCCGACCCCAGGACCTGTTGCCCACAGTGATGGGCATCTTCAACCAGATCTTAGACAGGCCTGCCACCACGCACATCGAGATTGACAGGGTTCACAGAGCCCTCCGCCCCCCCACCCAGGGTCCGGACAACCCCAGGGATGTTATTTGCAAACTGCACAAATACACAGAGAAAGAATCTATCATGCACCGCATGCGTTCTCGCTCTCATATTGACTTTGATGGCGCGAAAGTGTCCCTATACCCGGATCTCTCTCGACGCACACTGGCTATGAGGAGATCCCTGCGGCCCCTACTGGAATTGCTGATGTCGGCCGACATCCCCTACAGATGGGGCTACCCCTTTAGCCTGATTGCTAAAAAGAACGGGAAAACGGCAGTCCTCCGCGACAGGGACGACCTACCCAGGTTCTTGCACCAACTGGACTTACCACTGGTGGACCTACCTGCCTGGCAGCAACCGAACGAAGACATCCGTCTGCCCCCCCGGCCCGCCCCGTGGCGCACCGTGGGCTTCAGAACCCCATGTACTGCCAGAGCGCCGCCGAGAGCCCCGGACCGAATATGGCAGGTCGGAACCTGGCCCATGCACCATGGCTTCCACCAGAATTCAGGGGCCTAGCCCCCACCACTTCCCCACTCACTTCCCACAAACTACGGTTCTGGGACCGCACGAACAAACAGGGCCGACTGGTAACTGCCTTTCCCCCTTTTCTCTTCTTATACCCCCCCTCCCCACTCCGGACCTCGACACCTGGTTATTATTGATCGGAGATTACTGTGTTAGCGCATTTTGTTCAATGACGCCTGCTCGCAAGGCCATGTGGCAACTAGCTATACCAAATCCGGAAAATGTTGTTCTTTATGCTTTTGTCATTTAACATCTCCTTCTTTGTTTTTTCAAATGTGTTTCCTCTTTTTGTTTTCTTTTTGTTTTATATTGTGAAAACCAAAAATAAAGAATACTTCAAAAAAAAAAAGGCCTTTAATAGTTATATATCTGTTTCACATAAAAAAAATAACAATGCCACATGCATGTGATATTTATGTTTATGCGTTTGTGATCATCTCCAGGAGAAAAAAAAAAGCATATAGAAAAAACTCATGTATCATAGTAATTAGAGCCAACTGGGCTGCTCAAATCCTGCAAACTATAATTATTTGTCTTATGTTAGGAGTTAGTTTAATTGAAATAAGTGGATGTGTGGGAGGACAGTGGAGACAAGATATCTGCTCAATTTCATCTTTGACAGATTTGCTTATTACTACTAAGACAAAACAGCAAGAGTGAGATTAAATGCACACAAGGTTTGCATGTTTGGACATTATTATGTGTGTTACAATAGATAAGTGTACACTGTATTTTTATTTGAGATCAGTGTTCTTGAATATTGCACCCTGTGATCCTGTTGGTTCATAGACCATAAACTGGGTGTTTAACTGCCTCCGGGCTGGCCGTAGTAAAAAAACGGCCGGCCCGGAGCTCCCTAGATGTGAGCGGGCGTCTTTAGACCTCCGCCCAGACATGCCCCCTCGCGCCCGCCGCTGGGCGCGTGCGAGAAATGAGCTTCAGAAGCTACAAAGAAGCTGATGGAGCAGATCTGTGCTTCATCAGCTTCTTTTGGGGGGTCCTAGGTGATATTAGGGGTTTTGGAGACCCCTGATGTCTCCATAAAGAGGACCTAGCAGTAGAAAGGTATCATGGCACACTCACAAGACAGCATGTAAAGAAACTTGTCTCACCACTAAGGTTAATAACAGAGGTTTGGATACACGTTTTCTGCAGAAAATGTGAAAGCCGCACAGCCGCGCCAAGGCACCTCTTATAGTGCGGTCCTAACTCTAAACTATGAGAGTCTCCATCTTGGAGCACATGGGGGCAGAAGATTTCAAATTGGGTGCAGGTTTGTCAGGAGGCACAGGAACACACAATGGATCCCAGCTGCCAATGGGATGTGCGGGATCCCTTGTGTGTTCCTGTGCCTTTAAGGGAGGTCGGGCTTCCTCCTGACAAACCTGCACCCAATTTGAAATCTTCTGCCCCCATGTGCTCCAAGATGGAGACTCTCATAGTTTAGAGTTAGGACAATACTATAAGAGGTGCCTTGGCGCGGCTGTGCTGCTTTCACATTTTCTGCAGAAGACGTGTATCCAAACCTCTGTTATTAACCTTAGTGGTGAGACAAGTTTCTTTACATGCTGACTTGTGAGTGTGCCATGATACCTTTCTACTGCTTGCTGTTTAAAGCCCATTTCGTGTGCACCTTACTGTATAGTTGGTGACAAATTGTTGAGTGCGTTTGTCATTTGTTTTGCATAAAGAGGACCTGTCACATATTTTGATATCACATAGGGGTGTTTTATTAGCCCCCGTATGTGATGGCAATAACGTTTAGTGAAAAAAAAAATTAAAGTCCCCCCCCAATTTTATTTTACACAAAAAATTATTTAAAAAAAAATTAAAAAATGGCCTGGCCAGGAAGGGGGTCTAAACACCTGGTCTTGAAGTGGTTAATAGTAATTATATAAACAATTATATGTTTTAAGAAGACATGTAACAGTAAACACTCATGAATATTATCTCAGAATTATCCCTGCACAATACTCTATTGCATTATATTGCAATATTACTCTATAATATTGCATTCAGATGCTCTGTGTAGTATTCACTTTTTATATGAAAGTTAGTAGATGTCAATGTAATCAAACAACATGGGTATGGTTATGCTGATGCAAGGCAAGACAAGCAAGAATATTATTGGTAATTATGCTCTTGCAATGATCTGACTGGGTTAGACTGTGTGTCTGTTGTTTAATATCTGTGAGGTTAGCCTATGCCTTTCTCTGCATTTCATTATTACCATTCTCTGCCTGTCACAAGTCTGTGTCCTGCTCTATTATCACCCATATCCAGGGCCATAACTACAGATCACGGGGCCCCATAGCAAAAATGTGATGGGGGACCCCCCTGACGATCTCTCTCCGAGCTGCAAGTAATGATGACAAGATCCCAAAGACTTCACTTGTGCATCAACCAATCCAACCCTTCATGATACAGCACTATATTATCTTTACATGTTTTTTGTTTAATTTGCCTGCACAACCTTATGGGGCCCTCTTCCACCCCCAGGCCCCATAGCAGCCACCTAGCCTGCTATGGCTATAGTTACGCCACTGTCTATACCTTGTTACCGTAATCTCTAAAGGCATTTAAGGAGCTCTTTTCTACACACATATCCTTGGAGCATTTTGTGCAGCCTACAGACCTTGACCGTGTTGTGATGTCACCTTCTAGTTATGCCTCTTTCCTGATCTGTTTCCAGTGTCATCTCATGTAGCACGGATCAAGGGTCTGGTAAGGGATTTTAAGAGGGGCACCACACTTTTTTTCATTTTGGCATTGGGGTCCCCCCTAAAATTCCTACCGGACCTAAAAGGTTTGGTATGAACTGGGGGGGAGGGCGCCTGCTGTTTATTTTTTGTATTGTTTCTATGGACTGTCAAAAGTTAAAAAGTAAACATTTAATATCGCTTTTCTGCAACTAATTTTTGTTCGTAATTAGCATTCAACTTATCCAAAATGAACTAAAAATTGGATTTGTCCGAATCCAAATACCGAAATGAATTGACTTACTGACCGGAATCCCGAAAAACAAAATAATGAAGAATCTGAACCGGAAAAAAAAAAAAATGTTTTTGCTGGCTTACATGTCTAGAATAGAAGCCAAAGTCTCCAAGTGGATCTCAAATGTTCTTCAGTATCCTTTACAAGAACTACAATTTTTTTCTTTGTCCCTAATTACCCGTATTTCCTATCTCGAATACAGGAAGAAAATGTAGTTTATACTTGTGAAAAGATCGCTGAGTCTCACAAATTTCCCATGCAGGTGCGATCGTCCACAGGTAATCCCAGCATGTAATCCCAGCATGTAATCCCAGCATGTGAACGGCCTATGAACAGCCGTAGGCAGTGGCAGATGTCATTGCAATATACAGCACCTCCTACCCACAGCTGAACGCATGAATCACATTGAGGAATTTGTGAGACTTGGCAATCCAACCCCATTCACAAGTATTAATGGGGCCTATTGGAGATGCAGACAGGTTGAAAATACTCATTTGGTAGCTTGGGAAATTATTAAGAACCTCTGTAATGTTCAGAGATTCCCCCGAACATCCTGTTCTAGAGGTAGCAGTGACCGGGACAGGAAGTTAGGAGAAATCTCTCTATGACAGTGATATGAACTTTCGGAGTTTGTTTCGATTGAAAAAAATGAGTAATTTACATTTTTCAATCTTTTTTGTCAGCTTTTCCTTCTTTAGAACAGAAGAAACGAAGCAATAATAAAGGATGCTGTCTCTTAAGTCCTCCCCCTCCACCAATCTTCCCACCTCCGCCATTCTTCAGAGATCGCAGACACACAGTAAGTATCCATGTTGTAACAGCACAGACAGCTCTCTGTAGGTTGCACAGTCAGTATTCAGTTTTTGAAGTTTATTCAGTCTGAATTAAATGCATATGCACCTTTCCTGTATATATCATATTATTATTATTAGGGTTACACATTTTGGCAATGCTTTGTAAGGTTTTGTAATGAATAATAATCTACCATGTGCTACAAATTAGCAGATTTGTAGGGAGGTTTAAAATGTGCAGGCAGATTGTATCGAAATGTAACATTGTAACAGTTTTCCATGTGGTGTCAGAAAAGAAAAGACCAATAAAGGACCAATTCATTCAAATAGATGTCTCATCATACCAACAGTATATGTATAGTAATTTAATGGAAAATCGACTAAAGCACAGTAACAGCAATCCCTAAATATATTATTTTCCCTGTGCTTTCTAGTATTTCTCCTCCAAGAGGATTTTCTATCTGTCCTTGAAAACAATTGCTCAGTAGAAACCTGCCAGTGAAGGTTAAAAAAAACAATCTAGCTTATAGAACCTAGTGGATTTCATTAACTGTTCATGCAGTCTTTCCTGATTGCTCTGCAGGCTGCTGTTCCATATGGAGGTTACAGAAAAATTTAACTACTCTCCAGGATTGATTGATTTTAGCTTGGATATTTAACAGCAGAATGTTTTATTCTTATGTTGTCATTCAGTTGACAGTAAATACATCATTATTATGACAACACTGTAGAAACCAATTAACCATTGTGAAAACGCACTCAATGTAATGCACAAAATGCAGTTAAACAGAATACGATGTGTACTGTATATCCTTATACATGTTTGACTAATAACCATATGCTATATACTGTATCTGCTTGCATAGTCTAATATAATTTAAGAGGGTGGGTTTAGAGGCGGAGTTAAGGCCGAGGCAGGGTTGGGGTTAGGTGGGGCAACTGGTGGCGAGTAACTCTTAAGGCCTGGCTAGTAGCTCAGGACTTGAAATTTTGAGCCCTGGTCTAATCAATATGGTGCATAACAAACAGACCACTGAGCAGAATCCATTACCATTTACTCATAGGTTAGCAACAAGTCCCTACTAGCAGGGACTGTGCAAGGCAACTTATACCAGTTGAGCAACCAGCAATCAAAATATATGAAAACAGTTATATCACAGAAAAATAAATAAGACAATATAGTGCTATGTGTTCACTATTGCAAGCATTGCACTCTGGGGAATAAAATCAATATGAGACTTAGGGAATAAAATTATGTTTTCTCTCACTTTATATTGATTGTCCGTCTATGTAATTCACTGTTACTTGGGAAATTGGGTGCCTGTGTTGGCAAAAATGGCAGTGATTTCTGAATTTATTAAGCATCATCGGTAATCCAAGCTCCAATGGCAACCAACTCCACTGCACTTTATAGTACAGGGAAGTTTATACTGCAACATATTGCTGGTTGTCACTAGCCCCAGTATTACAGATGCAAATATTGCTAGTGCTTGTTCTGATCTTGCTGGATTTGGAGCCTAAAGGGAACCATCTAAATAACTGGTGAGGAGACCAAGTCAGCCCTGATCATCCAGAATTGCTGTGAGCATATATTTGTCTCAGATTCTGACACATGAGGAGAGTCAATGTGCTCAGTGAACTAGTAGTAGTGTGTTGGGTAACCCATGCCCTGTTGGGGTCATGGCCTTACTGACACTAAAGCCAGGTACACATGATATGAATTTCAGTAGGTCCCACATTCTGTATGGCACCCTGCCCTCCAGCATCCTTCCGCCAGTGGTTGAAAAATTCTTGGCTGGATGGAGCTGGCACCCAATCAGCTGCTAGCTCCATTCAGGTATTCTGACAACGGCTGTTCAGCATGAATGGAGGAATCTGTTATATTTTTTCTGTTCAGCCCACAGGTTGAATAAAAAAAAAAATAAACACCCAACTTTACTCTATGAACTCCAGTCAGCAAGTGAGTGGACTACAATGGGGCTACCTATTTATTGATTAAGTAATTGATCTTATGTTAATTAGGTCAACAAAATCCAATAATCCCCTGTCACCTCTGAATTAAAGAAGGACCTCTTTTGGACCCCACTCATTTTCTGACTGGAAGTCCTTGCTTCATTCTATGAACTCACTGAGTAAACTAGTAAAAAATGCAAGGTACCCCTTTACAAATTTATTATTCATGACTAGCAGATTACAGGTATCTGCCTGATGTAATGCATTTTGGAGTTTCTGATATTAATAATCTTAACTGGCTTTGGTGCTTTATGTCAGCCATGGAAAGCAAGACCAACAAGGGCTTATCTGTAATTGTACATGCATATAAAAAGCTCTAACAAATTATGTAACAATTCACTTGTTTAAAATGTACTGCTTGTAATTTTATGGCTAAAATATACCTAAATATAAGTAATGTAAGATATCAAATAATTGTTTTTTTCTTTAAAGATGTATGACCTGGATTATACAAACTCACCTCTAGGGCAAAACCCAACAATACCTATATGTGTACCAGGCCCAACGGGGCCAGAAGGCCCTCCAGGCCCACAGGTTAGTACTACGTGGTGGTGAAAACAAAATGTCATGGATTTTATGATAAAAAAAAAGTTATTTGGTTGGTCTGACACTGCCATAGCTAGGGGTTGCCGTCTGCTTGCTAGTTTAAAAAAAAATGTATATTATGTTATGACGGATGCAACGGGAGAAGGGGAAGACCCTTTTTACTCCAACGTGGAAAGAAACAAAATTTGGAACTATTATAGGAGCCCTTAAGAAATAAACAAAGTCATAGTCAAGCTTGTTCTATCTCTTTTCGCCTTTTAAATTTCCCTTTGGTTGGGGTGGTATTGTAAAAGAATGATCAAGGAATGGCTTTTTAAATAATGGTTGTTTTAGTAAGTGCTTGAATTCAGAGTTTGGGGAACCAGCAAAGGGAAAAGTAGTAGCAGCAAGGTCTTAGGAGGTGATATGTAAAAAGGGCATCTAAACTACAGGGCTAAATAATGGATCAAAAAAGTATTTAGCTGCTAGAGAAAAGATGACATTAAAATGTGACAGTCTGGAAAGGGCCAAGGTCTTCTTGCAGGAGCAAGGCATAGATTTAGATTGTATGAAGTCAGTATATAGGTGAGATTTTTTTTCCACAACCATTTGGCTGTTTGGGGACATTTTTAATGTAGTGTGCCTTTGCAAGTATTGAATCTAATAATGGGTTTTTGTACTCTGAAGAATATACATAGCACTTAGTGTATTCCCAGCTCATCACACCTGGAGGGTGACCCTTTGCATGCCAGCATAACAGCCAGCTTTCATGGCTATTATACTCGAGAACCAACATGTTAAACCCCCTTCTTGTTCAGGCCATTTTTTTAGTTTTCTTTGCTCTGATAATTTGACAATTACTTGGCCATGCAGCACTGTACCCAAATTAAATTATTTTTTTAGACATGTAGAGCTTTCTTTTAGTGGTATGTATTAACCACTGGGATTTCCTATTTATTATGTTTCCCTAACTTTCTGTTTTAAAACATAGCATGCGCGATTACATCACGGCGGGGTGTCTCCCAGTATCCGCTGTGGGTGACACCGGGCCTTGGGACGCCCCTGAGGGGAAATATAATGATTTTTTTCTCATTCAGCCCAAAGGGTCTAAGAATGCATGCCTACTTTCATCCAAAAATTTGAATTGCCACCAGAACCAACAGCTACCAAAGTCTACAGGACAGGGAATTGAGAAAAATCTTCCTAATGAGTGGTTCTAACCCCTGAAAAAGAAAAAAAGGTTTTGGCTTTAGATATATGTTAATAGATGCAGTTCCTACTACTGACCCTAGAATTTCCATGAGTTCTTATGCAACTACATATGTACTGTTTTATTTTTGTTATCAGGGCCCACACGGTTTGCCGGGGACAACTGGACCAAAAGGAGAAAAAGTAGGTTTAATTTTAGCATTGCTGATGTCTATGAGTAGGGATGCTAAATTATTCATTTTACTTTAGTCTTGCTTGATAACAGCTATCATTGATGTGTGATGATTGAAGGGCAGTTTGCCTGTTCAATAGATCTTAGACTCTAAAACGTTTGTGTGACATTTAATCCAAGACACAAAGGGGTCCCTCTGTTAATGTCACAGAATTAAATGTTGAGCTTTTTTGTATTTTAAATTATTTAAAAATCCCAAAGCTGTTATGTTTCTTCTGCCAATACTGGGGTTTGTCCTTTTCACCTTTACTATGGAAGAATTTGGGGGTTGAGGATTTTTGAGATGCTGGACATGCTGTAATACACTATTTCCAGTAAAAAAGAAAGTGATGAAAGAAGTTTTTTCTAAGTGGCATATCTGACTTTCTTGCCAATTTTGCCTCTGTTTGTTTTACACATCTTTATGCTATTTTATTGACATTTTTACATAGTACTTTGTATTCAGTAGTTATCATTTTGGTGTATCATAAATGACATGAAAAGTTACATAAGAAGTGATGAAAAAAAAAGAACTGAAAACACAACATATTGTAAAGTCAGAATTTATTCTATAAATATGGCCTAAAGCAGGGGTGGGCAACTTCGGCCCTCCAGCTGTTGTGGAACTCAGGTGAGTTAAATATTTAAATGGATTTAGGAGCACACTTGCCATGGGGCAGCAGAGTAAATTGGCAGCAATTAAGTAAAGCAATCCAGCAACATTTCTTAAGGTCAACAAGCCAAAGCTCTTTTTTTTATCGAGTAAGCGCTAGAACCTCGATCTAGACTGCATAACATGTAAAGGAGAATAAGATAAATCATAACAATTTGTCTGTGAATTATTGAGTTTGGTACTTTGACACTTTATTGTAAAAATTTTCTAACAAAGCTGAAGTTTTCTTAGAGTGTTCTCACTGAGAATGTATTTCTAGTTACACTTGAACTTACTAAGGTTGCTTTGTATTTTTACAGGGTGAAATTGGCAGGCCGGGCAGAAAGGTATAATCTTATATTACTTCCACATTTTCCACAGCCAATGATACAGCCGAAGTGGGGAGAATGGTCAGTTCTCCCCGCAAAATGTAAACAAATAGTTTTAAAAAAAACTCTGCGTGGTCCCCTTCCAGATTCGTACCAGTCCCTTTGGGTCTAAAATTCCTACCAGACCTAAAGGACCTGGTATGACTTTTGGGGGGAACCTCACACACCTTTTTTTTTACATTTGTAACCCCACACTGTTTTTTTTTTCTTCTTTTGCTTACTTTTTTTTCTTCTGTTTTGCGAGCAGAATAACCGAGCCGAATTCTGCAAGGCAGCATTTAGCTATTCACTCCCTGCTGTTCGGCCCCCATGAGAATAGGGATGAACAGCAGGGAGTGATCTGCCATACGCTCACCTGAGCCGATCCAGATGTTTGATCGGCTAAGGTGAATGTGTTCTTCACTTCGGCTTAGCCAAGCTTGCTGTTTGGCTGAACCGAAGCCAGTCGTTGTACTGCTGAAATCAGCCACACTGGTCTGAAGTGAATAGCTGAACGGCGTTCGGATCTCTTCACTTCGGGCCGGTTATTCACTCGGCTGCCTTCTGCAGCTTAGTGAATCACCCCTTAAGTGTTCCAATACCAAATTATGGTGAAAGTGCATGTTTTCAGGAAGTTAAATACACTCTGAGAACATTTAATAAAGCAGAGGTATTGCCTTACCACAGCTATACCTCTGGCTTAAAGAAAAAACAAACTACACATTTATAAAACACAGTGTGCTTTCCCTATGTGCTTAACACTCCGCTAGCATTAGGACTTCTAAGCCAGCAGAATGTGAATAAAATAAATGTAAGAAAGAAAAGAAGAGCCCAGTTGCATGATAAGTGAAAGCCTTATGAATGGCTTTTCACCAATCATGGAATGTTCTCCGCTTCGTTAAGGGAAGTTGGTAGGACCCTGGAGGCTTTACACTACTGCCTGCATTTCATAAATAGGACGACAATGCCGGCCATGGTGTGGACAAACATTGCAGTGTATTGAGAGTGGATAGCGGTATTCTCTCTCTATTTTAAACAGAGCCTTAAATTGTTACATATACGTCATAAAAATAATTTCATACCTCTGCTATTTCTATGAATAGCAGCTAGTTCTACCCAGGTCTTTCTGGTGCTAACAATTACATCATGTCCAAGACAGTGTGGCACCACTAAAGACGATGTCATTTGTTTTTGTGCACCATAAAAATACTTTGTACAAACTCTGCAAGTCTGAATTCTAGACATTCACATGGTAAATCCCAACTGGCCAGCGCTACAAATAGCATGGGACCCTCTCTTATGCTATGCAGCATCACTCACATCCTCTCACTGTCGGAAGTGATCAGATTTAGAAGCTGGGGAAGAAGGAGTTATTAATAAACCATCCTGTGATTGCTCTAACAGAACAGAGAATGACTGCATGGTACAAGTCAGCCAAGTGTTTCCTCAGATCTAGAAGTCTAAGAAGATATTGTTACATCCGTGAATTCATTTTCCTTTTCGGTTTTCACAGGACAGTGATTACTTAATATCTGTTTAGATATTTAGATAAGATACTGTTTACTTAATATTGAACTTAGATGAAATACAAACCGTATTAAAAAAACAATAGTATTTAAGTCAATATAAGCAATGTTTTGGACAGGAGGAATGCAGTTGTTTTGCAACTGCAATAAAATGCAGTTTATTTTATCACTGGTGACATGTTACAACCTGATGGCACAATCTATGAAATGTAGGAAATTTAAACATATGTGGACATGATATCCAGTCCAGGTTATCTAAACCCATAATCAAAAAATGTTTTCCTTTATTTTCACCTGGTGATTCGGCCAGTAACACACTTCATGTGGTAGGGTGGCTCCAATCTGTATAAAGGTGCCCATACCCCTTGCGATTATCGTAGATAATCGCGGGAAATCCCGCGAACGTACGATAATCGCAAGGAGTATGGAAGGCGTGCAACCGTTTCTACTGTACGGTCGCACGTCTTTTGTCGAACCAGCATGCTAGAAAACCTGCCAAGAATCGTACGATTGTCAGCAGGTTAGTGGCGTGCTCGTTCGACAACTGCGGAACGGTCTGGTGTGTGCACGCGCACACTGCCCGCTCAGCATTGCGGTCACCAGAAGCTTTCGATGATCGCAAGTACGATCTGCCTGTCCAAGATGGGCAGATAGTACAAGCTTTTAATTAGCTTACAACCATCGCAAGACAAAAGTCTTGCGATGGTTGTAAGGTGTATGGGCACCTTAAGAGCAGCAACCCTTGGACAGCAGCATTGCCAACCTATGATAACGGTGGTGTTAGATGCGCTAGCAGATTTAGATGGACCTAACTAACATATTACAGCCAAACTCCAGCTAACACTTTTGAAGCAGTTACAGCATTTTTGTATCCTTTTGGGATAAAGGTGTTACATGAATAAATATAAGCAGACCTGTCAGTGTTAAATGGTTTGTCTCCACCCTCCAACTACCACTTTTGCTGGACAGCTTGGTCTGTTAAAGGAAGTTGAAAAATGACACTGTTACTGGCAAGATCACCAGGTGAAAATAACGGCGAAAGGGCCTAAAAAAAGATAAAGAATGCACCCACCATGTCTAAGAATTGGTAAGCTCCAATATATAACATTTTTTGTTTTTGGATTTAGATATGCTTTAAATGTGCTCTGTTGCGGTGCATTGAGGTGCCATTTCCAATGAATATATATCAGGTGCGTTGCCATGCATTGTGGTAATGCACATTAACACATGCATTTCAGCACGCATTGCCACAGTGTACAAATGTGAATGGCCCCAAAGTCATTATTTGCTTGCATTTTTGTTGTAAGATGTTTCTATCGTTGTTCTATTTTTGCTTCTTAAGTCAAATGGTTTGATGTCTAAAAAGGTACCGTTTTGTGTTGCCAGTACAAATTAGTCATGGTTAAAGCACTTCCGTTTTTGCTGTCCAAGTTTAAAATAAATGAAGGAAATCAATTTTATTTCCAAAAGTTTTTGAAATTTTACTTACCTTTGTAGTTCGTTAGCATAAAAACCAAAGAAAGAGTAGCAGAATACTATATGTTACAAATGCATTTGGTTAGTAGATGTTAACATAAATGTAAGGTATTTCCCATTATATGAAGGTATTCCTCTGCAACTGTGCATTCTGTGGTCATTTACATGGCATATTTATTTCTTATTCCTGTGATATAACTAATTAATGAATTTCCTTTCTAGGGCAGGACTGGTCCTCCTGGTGTTCCGGGAATGCCAGGTCCTATTGGACCAGGAGGAACAATGGGACAGAAGGTACACGCTCTTCAAATACCATTCTGTACATAATATTTGTGTGCAGCCACCGCCTGTCATTAAATTTCTACAGGCTGACTGGTGGTGCATGTCACTCCCAGCAGAGATATTATGACCTTATTGTACACTATATGACCATTAACTGTCTTGTCCATGAGCCCTAATGACTAAAAAAACACAAAAAACTAAAGGTGAAAGGTGCCAGTTGTAACTGGGTCAATTTCAAAGTTCACTTTAGTATTTATATATATACGTATATATAGTATTTGTTATATAGTTTTTTTAGTTTAACAACATATATATTACATTGTGGCAGTTCTGATACTTCAGACACTTTAATGGCAAGGGGGTTTAACACCGCGGATGTCAACTGGTTAAATAACATGGTATAGACTTGTGTTCTTTGTTAAAGTAGAAATGTGGCCGGACCCAGACTATGGATATTTAAATATTTCCCATTCTTTGGTAAATCAGTAAATGAGCTTTAAAACCTCACTCGAGGCTGCTGTAAAATTTTCTTCCATGCAATGGGGTTCCCTTACCTGTCCGGCATGGGATAAATACTCATTTAGCTAAGAGGGAAAGGAATAGGTACAAACACATTACCTTTTTCCTCTAGCAGGTTTCTTCCTAATTGGGATGATTCCAAGCAACAAAAGGGGTTAATATTTGTATTTATTCCTTACTCCATAGCTAAATGAGCTTTTAATAAATATAACAACAACAACATACAAGCCCCAGTGATCTCTAAAGCTGCAGGCACAATGGAACAATTCATCCTCAAGGTTCACATTAAAAACACTTTCACTTTTGTTTTCACCAGCTCAGCTCACAAGTTCTTTTCCACGTCACCTTCAGCAGTGTCTTGGCAGCCTGCCATCTTTCTAATCTCTAATGTGAACACAGACAAGTGCACAGGGGGGGAGGGAAGATTGCCGATACCCAACTTGACCCAATTAATTGAATCTTCTCTGTGAACTTTGAGAATGACTTGCTCCACAGCATCTGTAGCTACTGGGGTTAGTGAAGGCTTGAAAGACAACTATGTGGTAACCTTTTTTCCCTATAGTTCTCTTCAGGTTCACGGGATTACATATACTAACCTCCTTCTGTGACAAAAAACTCAGTATATAGCGAGCTATTGCCCACTATATACTTAGAACGCCGCAGCCGCGACATACTGTTGAAATCCACCCTCGCTGGCTGATTGACAGCTGGCTTTGCCTATCTAGAGGCCGAGCCAGCTGGGCCCGCCACCTTCTCTGTCCGTTCCTCCAGTCATTGTTGGAGGATCGGAGAGGGGCAGGGGGCAATCCGTGCAGGGAGCATTGACTAACAGTCACCACTCTCTAATGGGTGAAGATTGGGAAGTCAGCAATCGGCAGTGTGTGTTCGCTTACTTCCAAATCAATAGAGCCGACCTGTGACAATGAAGCTGAATTATCGGTTTGAATTATGGGGATGAGTGTTTATCACTCACCCTATATTTCTCCTTTAAAGCATATTTATCGCTTGTTAAGAATATAAAGGTATTTAGATGTCCATAGACCAGCTACAATTATACGTGGGCACACACCCTACAGTAGAGGTCAGAGTTTTGCAAACTAATGTATTGTAACAGAGAAATGGATTAACAAATATAGGAGTTCAATCATACATTTTACAGTTTTTATTTCTTTGGTGAAAAGGGTGAAAAGGGAGATTCTACATCGTTTGGCACACCTGGCTCAAGAGGACCAACGGGCCCCAAGGTTTGTTATATATGTCCTTGTGATTATAATAGGTACTAATATTTTTTTCTGCCATATACAAGCTTTACCTGGCATACAGAGTGTCATTTAGCTGATAAATTAATAATTCTGCTTATCAATGGAAATGCAGTACTGACATAATTAATTATAGAAAGCCAATATCATTTCTGGCAGAATTTTATCAGAGCTATAGCTTTAAAAATAAATTATACTCTACCAAGTACAGTATACACTGCAATTAAACATGAGATTTAAATGTGCTTGACTTGCTATAATAATCGTAATATATGTGGAAAACTGCATGATTGACAGAAGGCAAAATAGATTAAAAAAGTGAATGGATGCAGAATGCATGTGTAGTGCAGCTAAAGCTTTGTACTCTTTTAAAAAACATCTAAGCTAACAATGTTGCAGAAGAACATACACCTTTTAGTGCCAGTAACAACCTGTGCTAGTCTTAGGATTATCTTCTGTGTGCCTGAAGAGCCTCCTTGGATTACATATCCAAGCTGTACACAGGGCTTCGACTTCTTTCCAGGTCAGCAGAGTCCCCACCTTACATGGCACTATACCATGGAACTAGCCTATGCCATTTCAAATGTCTTTGAGGCTTTGGCATCTGACAGCTGAATTGCAGGTAGTGCTAATTTGGACAGATTTGGGCCTGCAAGCCAAGGGGCTACATAAGGACACAGAAACTAATTTGAAGACTATGGCTGAAGTGCAGGTAATGAATACAGGGTGCTGCTATGGCAGGTTTACTTTGAAGGACGACTCCATCCTAAAAATATGTCTCATTAGATGTTCTAGAAGAAAACGCTCAGGGAGTGATTTATCAAAACTGTAGGTGACAGAACCTGGAGCTTATCTCTTCAGTTTGTTTAGTTAAGATTTGAAAATTAAAGATAGAAGTTGATTGGTTGCCATGCACAGCTGCTCCAGACTCTGCTTGCTTCAGGTTTTGATAAATCTCCCCTTTTGTGCTTTGCAGCATAATGCTGTACGTTTTTATTTGATTACAGACTCTCAAGAGTAAACCGATACAGTGCTTGCACTTTGAGTTGTTGGACTTAAAGTAAAACGGAAGCCAAAACATTTTTTTTATTTTTGGATAGAGTAGGGGAGGTTCATAACTTATTTTCCTTCACTTCCTGTCTAATAGTTGCAACAGGAAGTAAGATGAAATCCCTCCAAAGTGACGGAAATAACTGGTGGTCAGCAGGGTCACCAGGACTAGCATCCCCACTGGAAGATTTCCCATCTATTCCTGTTCTGATGACAACCCAAAATTTGAGATTTTCTTTAACTTTTACTTTCAGTGAAAGTAAAGTGAACAGTCACCAGGAAATATAGAGTAGGTAAATCTGCCTAATGAAAATACAGACGGCAATAAAAACCTGACAGGTGTACTAATTCCTCTGCACTCCATCAAAAACTAAACAAAAGGTTTTGGTTTCAGTTGCATTTCAATATACTGTATGTAGAGGTGTATGTGTCTATAACATGTTAACTTGAATGCAGAATATTCAGTCAGCCATAACCCAGATGCTAAACATGTGCCATCCCAACTATACATTTCAAACCAAAACAGCCATTAATATTGTCATTTCAAATGCATAACATTCATGTCATTCAATCTTTAAATCTATCTTATTCTCCCATGGACACAACTGAAAGTCATTCGGGGTCTCTGTGGTAGGTAACAGCAATAATATACAGATCTTGCAAAGACTTTCCCAGGGTAACACAATGTATGTGTTGTTTTTACAATAGCTTATTATCAGAGTTAGGGCAAGATGTAGCCAAGTAGGGATCTTAACAAGGATAAAAATATTATATGTGTAGGTTGGTAGAAAATGTAGGCCCTGTTCACACTGAGCGGTTTATCGCATATTTCTGCAAGATATCGCTCTATGTAGCGTGTCCAATGCATTTCAATGGAGCTGTTCACATCTCACAGCTCAATGTCGCCTGTAGCTTGTCGCTCAAGCTTGTCGCTCGTACATGCCCCTTTTTTCGCGGATGTCACGCGAATCGGCTCCAACAGACTCTATGGTGTCGCGCGAAATCGCGCATTACCGGCGATATCGCGCTACAGAAGGGTCACTTTTGCTGAGGTGTCACTGCAAAATGGAAGGAAAGAATGATCGCTGTTGATTGGTTACTGCCCAATGTAGCAGCAACGAAGTCCCGCCCAAAAAACCTGCTCTGTAGGGCGATAAAATGTGCACTGTCGCTCAATATCACGCAATGTAGCTCAAAGCGGATCAGCACAAAATCGCGCTGAAAAATGCGCAATATCCATGTCGCTCAGTGTGAATGGGGCCTTAAAGTAGTGTTAGACTTTCAAACTGTTTTTCAATAATCAATTCAGATCAAACAAATATACGTTGCTCAGCAAAGTATGTCTTTAACTTTTTGCCCAAGCACTTACAGACTCTGACCAGACGTTCCGGTATCGGGGATGGTAACGAAGCATTTGAGCGAGTACTCGTACTCGTACTCACCCAAATACTCGGTATCGGCACCGATACTAGTATCGGTATTGATGCATCCCTAGCATTATGGTCACTAGATGGAGCCGAGCAGCATAGGAAGTTGAGTTCTTATGCTCACGGAATAACAAGGCCAATACCAAGTCAAATTTGGCTACATACATTATTGCGGGAGTGCAATATAGAAGCCGGCTTTCCAGCCAATCAGCAAGGAGTCGGCTTCCCGGCCAATGAGGAAGCCGGGGCGGCAAGTAATGACCCACCTTCCAGCTTCCTGGTTGTCTGGGAAGCCGCCTCCATGCTGATTGGCCGGGAAGCCAGCTCCACAGCCAATCAGCTTTGAGCCGGCCTAACATTCAGCTCGATGCTGATTGCCAATCAGCATCGAGCTGGCCAAACAGCATTGACCCAGCTTCCCAGCCAATCAGGAAGCCGGGAGGCGGGTCATTACTCGCCAGGTTAATTCTGATTGGCTGGGAAGCCGGTTTCCCAGCTAATCAGCATTGAGCCGGCTAAACAACATGGAGCTGGCTTCCCGGGCAGTCAGGGAGATAGGCGGCGTGTCTTTACCTGCCGCCCGGATTCCTGATTGCCTGGGTGCTCAGCAAAACCGGTATCGGTGCAACCCTACATAATGCAATGCGAATCTTGTTTGCAGAGACAATCACTTTGTGAACATTATATAAGTGTAATGAATACTTTTTTAATGTTAGGAAAGGTGAAGATTTTTCACTTGTCCTTGCCCGTGTACAGATGTATTAACTGTGGCTGTCTGCCTGTCCATGACTTCCATAGTGTTCTTGCTTTATCTCATTGTGAGGTTTCTCAATGAGCTGGTACTTGGTATTTTAAATGGAACCTGTTAGAGTGGCTGGCAGCAGTGCCATCCCAGGGTCACATATATCACCATCACTAGGAATGCTCACGTCTACTGTGCCCCGAGCCATGCTTTCAGTAATTGGGCAGTTATCAGTCTTTAGCTCTGGAGAAGAGCCTCAGCTGTGACCAGTAGCAGCCACATTCCACAGAGCCAATATAAGGAATATCATGACATTTAAGACTAATATGTCTAAGCAAGGCAATTTCACTTATGTGTATATTTCCTCTTTCTTTGTGTATTTACCAGCAGCATGTTTGATATTCTGTTTCTGTTGCACATTTAGATAATTTGTCTGCCATTTCTTTAAGGGTTTTCCTGGCATTAATGGAGAAAAGGTCAGTGCATCTGCCTAAGTACTAACCAGAGTCTGTGCTGAATCTTAAACAAAAATCCTGTAGATTGCAGACTTCTCTGATAACCTATTGCTAGTAGTCAGCTTTTTTTTCTATTTGAACTGCTTTGATTATCCATCTGCCATACTGTAACTGGTGGAAGAATTACAGTATATATATACAAAGCAGGACGAACAGGTATTGAGGGCAAATATGATGATGGACATTGTTCTGTATGACCTGTAGTAGTTTATAAATTATACCTGTCTTCCTGCACTAAACACAGTAGGTGTTATTTAACGGATGACATGGTATTCTATCATGTTTATGTTCAAAAAGTAAGATTTTTTTATCAATAATTTTTATTGGTATAACATGAGAGAGTTGCATCTTCTACAATGTACAATGACTACAGTTAGAGATATAGAAAGTATATAATACAACGCAATGCATCCGTGAATTGTCACCCAGTATACCTTTTTTTGTAAGTAACATGGGTAACACCAGTATGAAGAGAGGGTCTGGAAAAAGTTGATGTTGTTAAGTTAGGAATACTGGGGCCTTCATAAACTATCTACAATGAGAAAAGGGAAAGACCTGTAGTGTCCCGAAGGGAATCGTTTGGGGTGTAGTTAAAGCTAATAAGGGAGGGGGAACAGGCTAAAGACTACATCAGGGTGAAGTGGTGGAATAGAAGCACCATGTATTAAATGTTTATTTGTACAATTAAGATTTTAAATAGATAATGAAACAGGTAGATAATCATACATGTTTTATGTGGCCAGGCAGATTCCTGGCAGATGGATGCTGTCAGGGTGAGCACTTATCTGATGGGTTAGAAAACCTGTCTTGATCCCTATTGTTCTTCCCTGCAGTTAGCACATCTTCCCCTCCTCTTGCCTTCTCTCCTCTTCTTCCCTCCCACAGTCCTTTCCCCTACTCTCCTTCTCTCTTCCTCCCCTCCTCTTTCTCTCTCCTTCCATAACCCCCCCACCCCCCACCCCCTCTGCTCTCCCCTTCTCTGTATTGTCTTCTCCTTTCCCCTTTATTAAATCCCCTCTATCTTTCAGAATGTCTTATTTACAAAGATCATTTACTGTGCTATATTTTTATATCTTTCTAACCAGCAAACTGACATTCAGTACTATACAGGTACAAGTTTTTACCTTGTATCAGGTATTTTAAATTCTATATTTACACTGCTACTATAGTTCTACCTGTATACATTACCCTCTAAACCATGGTCATACATTTTTCATGTCCCCTACTCATTGGTATTTCATACACAGTCATGGAATATTCTGCATACGTGACTAGCCTACAAACCATAGCTGGTCTAGTTTATTTTTGTATTTTGGAAAAGGAAATGTAGCTCTTTACATGCAGCTCAAGTGGTAGTTTAACAATTACATTCAATTTCTTATCTGTCTTCCAGGGCATAAAAGGAGATCCAGGAGAAATGGGTCCCAAAGGTGAACAGGTAGGAAAATTAACTTATTAATGTCATAATATATCAGGCAACAAGCAATGGAAAGTAAAATATTGTCATAAGAAAATACTCTTTTACGAAGAACACAGCCATGGCAGTGGCTGTAGTCATTTTATTAATTGTAACACAAAAAAAGCTCAATGAATGTCATGTTGTTACAATTTCTTTTTTTTTCAGGGATTTATGGGTCTACCAGGAATGCTTGGACAAAAAGTAAGCGCATGCAGACGTTTATTAATTTGTATGCAAATATCGCATTTCCAGTGATTTTGTTTTAATATTAAATTAGAGAGAGAGAGATAGAGAGAGAAAAAAAGGGTACCCTTTAAGATGTTTGCTCTGTGAATATCTGTGAACATTTGTTTGGGATGAATAATTTCACAAAACAAAGGTTCCTAATATTTTTTTTTTCAGTTCGAATGTATTGTAATGGAATACTACATTTTGCCCACTATATGGAGATGAGGAGTGTAGGAAATAAGTAATAATGTCCTATGTTCCTCAGCTCTATCTAGATGCCATAATGTATATATGTATACTGTATATAAATATCTAGATGACACTTGCATTTTCTGCACAAGCATCAAATGCTCACACAAGTGAATGCAATGTAATTTGAATATTTATTATTATATTTTAGCAACCACAAACTTGTGAAAAAGTTGTCTGCCTGCTAATTTGTGCCCCTGTCAGCCCAAACGAATGTTTTTCCTAATGTTACGCTAACAATCTACACAAACTGTTGTTTTTTTCCTGCGTGCTTCGCAATGTAATGTGAAAAGGGGAATTCCACAATGTGACATAAAAGGTTCCACTAATAAAGAAGACTTTGCTGATTATATTTTGTGTAAATATGGGGGGAGGGGTGCAAATTACATAAATGTTGCGTTTTACTTATTCTCATTAAAAACCAGAGAAATAAAAAATATTTGCACGTTCTCCCTGTGCTTGCGTGGGATTCCTCGGGGTACTCCAATTTCCTCCCACACTCCAAAGACATGCTGGAAGGTTAAATGGCTTCTGTCTAAATTGTCCCTCGTATGTATGCATGTGAGATAGGCACCTTAGACTGTAAGCTCCTTGAGGGCAGGACTGATGTGAATGTGTAACTATGTAAAGTGCTGCATATATAAATACCTGAAATAAATAAATAAGTAAATAAAATATATTTTTGTTTATTTTAAATTTTCTATCAAATTAAAGCCCTATCTTTCCTGAAAACAAATTATGTATAATATGTTAGTGTAGACTACAAAATCTAAAAGATATACAGCAACATGCGGAAATCAGACATTGCCAAATGAAAAAACAAAAATGCTCTGAGACTCGGGGATTTAGGGAGAAAGAGGCCCTAGGACTCAAGTGGTAAATAAAGGTATTTTTAATACTCTTTTCAACAGTAGCAGAACAGGTGCAGCATTTGTACCTGACATAAGTGTTTTCTATTTTTGGAGAAGGGCCAAACAGCAGAGCAGAGCTTCAGTGCATTGTCTCTCTTGCAGGAGGTACTGAAATGTATCCTGGAATACCAATTTTCACCAGTCTGTGACCACACTAAAACAAAAAGTATTTAAGAGCATCGGGCTTAAACTTAATAGATTACATGATATGTTATTATGGATCTGAAGATGTTGTTGTGGTTTAGCATGAATAAGTGATGAACACATGAAGGAGTACAAGGAACAATATATTTGTAGTGCTTTGGGAATTCCATATTTCATTTATATTTCTCATGTTACATTCATTTAACTTTTGCTTTCTGAACTTGTGTCACCTCCATGCCTGTGTTACGTGCACTTTTGGCAGTGAGCGAGCTGCAATGCATTTGTATTATCTGCATTATCATTCTAAATAAGCAAGCTAAATATAGCCCTGCTTACTGGCAGCAACTGTGTTATCTGTGATAATCATATAATTTCTAAATAAGGACCATGTTAAGGAAATCTATTTTGTTCTCTTAACTTGTGGATGAACCCACTAATTAAAAAATGACTTAATGAATGTAATTTAGTCTGAAGGTAGAAATTAAATTGCATTTCTGTTGGGTAAACATGAAAAGATGAGGCTGGGTAATCCGTAAGCAAATTATGATTTCAAAGGGAATATATTTGGTATATGCCACACATTTGATATATTTGTTTCTTCATTTAAAGTTTGTGGTGTGAAGAATAGAAAATTGTACTTGAGTATTCTGCAGAGAAAATGGAAGCATAGCCAACAGAAACCAGTCAGATGATAGTTTTCCCTTTTTGTGGAATATTAACAGATTAGTTTTTTTTTACAGTAGTCTGTACTTTTCCCCTACTCCACATTTGTAAACAAGCCTTTACAGTATATCTAAAGCCAAACTATGTATTTTAGTTTTCAGTAAATCAGCGGAGGGGTTAGACAAACTGTCAGGTTTTCATTGCTGTCTGTGTTCTGCTGGGGAGATTCACCCTCTATTGGTTCTTGTGAAAGCTGTCACTGGGACCTAAAAGGAAGGTGAACTGAACAGGAATATAGTGCCTATACGGACACTTGTTCCAGTGACAACCGTGTCAGAAGGGATTTCCCTTCAATTTGGAGAGATGTCCTTGAATGCTCCATTGTGCATATTGAAAACTAAAATACGTTTTGGCTTTAATGATATTTTAAATTAACTTTAGCGTTGAGGTAGAATTAGTTTATAACAGTGTGTTTATATATTTACAGTACACTTAGTTGCTGTAATTCAACATAACATTTACATGTATACATATGTGAATTAATCTTTCAAGTCCTAGATTAGGATTAAAACTCAAACTACGATGGATCTCTTGGTATCCTGTTGGCTTCTTTATTTTTTATTTATTAATTCTTTATTCAAATTTTGCACATATAAATTAACATTAACCAATACAATTTATACCCTATTCTCTTTATGCTGCATATACAAATACACAATAACAAATACATTTAACATTCAATCTTCACTCCCTTCCTTATTTTATCTAACCTATACCTTCAAATCTATATATCGGCACTATATACAGTAATGGGGTTCCAGTAGAATGGGTACCACTGACATCTATAAAAAAAAAAAAAAGGGAGGAGTCAATCCCACCTTTCTCCTTAATTTGTTAATTTGTGCTTTTATTTCTCCTTTGTTATTGTCCCCCCTCTCCCTCTCCTATCCTGTTGGCTTCTTTTCTTTTTCCATTTTTGAATAATAATATTAATAATAATATTTTCAGTGGAATTTTCAGTGGTAGAAATAAGTGGAAAATTGGATTCTGAAATATTACCATGGTTCAATTTCCATATTGCCATTGTTGACTGATTCATCTTCTAATGAAACACTGGGGGAAATTTATGAGCCTGTTTGCAACAAAATGTAAGAGCAAAATGTCATGCTAACTAACAGCAAGGTTTTATCTCTGTTATGCGTCATATTAATGTTGCGAATCACTGCACATGTTTTGCAACATTTTGCATAATTTCTCAACTGCCCGGTAATTGCGTCTAGCATTGTCGACAGTAAAAATCCTACAGATTGGTGAACATTCCAGAATGAGCATTTCTTACGGCATCGCAAAGATAAATCTGCTTCATACCTTCAAGTCAGCTAAGCACTTCAGGGCTATTCAGCTGTCCTTCAGGAGGTCTCCAGCAGGCTTGCACCAATTTAGAGACAGTTACGAGACAATTCTCCTTATTAAGGCATTTAGGAATGAAACATAGACCAGGATAATAAATCTAAGAAATCAGAAATCAGGGATGTGATAGTTTAGAAGATGCTAATGATGTGACCAAATTGATAAATTTCCCCCACTGTGTAAACAAACAAAGCTTTATAAAAGATGTGTATAGTACTGACTTCACCTATTCCATTGCAGACAGTCTTCTCTCTGTTGCAGAGCTAGAGCTGCCATTTGAATGTACCGCATCAAACCCTCCTGGGTCCATTATTACACCTTGATTGCTTGATGCCTGTCAGCACTGAGCTGGTGCCGTGAGAGGGAAGACCCCTTTTTAGGGACCCTCCATCCTTGAAGCACCTATGATAAAGGGGATAAGATCATGTCTGGTGCCAGGGTGTTAATGTTCAGAGGGAGAGCTAATTTTGTTTTTTAAAATGTCATTAAAAATAAAAAAAAATATTTGGAGATAAATACCTGAAGATCAATGGATGCCAAACTAATGGTTTGCACTGTGGAAGTCCACTGGGCAACATGGTGGTACAGATTTTGAAAAAAATGTTATTTTCTATGTACAAGACAATGTCTGTACGTGCGGGTGTCTGTGTGTGACACTTATCTGAATGGGGAAAAATTATTAGCTTGAGGTACTGTATATTAACCATGTTTTAGGGCATACTTTACATACTGACATCAGAGACAAAAATTGGGATTGTATGTTTTGACTGCTAATCAATGTATCATATATATGGAGAATATTCTTGTAGTGTCTGCACTAATACAAAATTATTTTATTATTACTCTAAGGGGGAAATGGGCCCAAAAGGAGAGCCAGGGATTCCTGGAAATAGAGGGCCCACCGGGCGACCAGGCAAACGAGGAAAACAGGTATTGTCACATAACTTGTTGGTTTCTGATTTGACAAACCTTTCTTTCTTCATTTGTAGAAATGTACCAGTGTTTCAATTCCTAAATCCTGACAACAGTGTTAGGCCTGGTTCACACCTGTACATCCAGGGAATACACATTTGCCGCGCGGCCCCATTGATTTCAATGGGCTCATATCCGTGCGGCAAACATAGCAAAAAGGCTCCTGCACAATTTTGTGCAACGCGCAGGACGCGTCTTTTCTGTTGCATTTGTACGAGCAGAAACGTCGTGGAAAACTGCGCAACTTGCCGGCCGCATTTGGGGTGCCATCAGAAATTAAAGGCAATGCAAGCATGTTTTGTGTTTGTGCACATTTCCACGAACGCGTGAAAACGGGCGTATTGCTGCACATTCTCAGAACGCACAGGTGTTAACCAGGCCTAAGAGTGTTAATACATTATCTAATACTGTAGATGGATAAATCCACCCACCCTTTAGCCCAATACCACTTTAATGAAGCCTAGACTTACCTAGTTCTTAGCCCCTCCTTGCAGCCACGGATGCTATCATGAAGTTGCTTACATTCTATGGAGAAAAGGAAACAACACTGCACTGTGTATGTGTCTCATTCAATAGCTGACCTATTTGGGGAAAGGAGTGGGTCCTCTTGGTGTAGTCATTAAAGCAAGGGCAAGCAGGTATTTTACTTAGTATGAGCACTATGGATTTACAGTAAATGCTGTTCACAATGCAAATCTGCTTACTTTCTTTCATTTTATGTTAGATGCTTCTGAAACTATATCTTATTTATGATAAAAACCATTAGCCTGCTATACACAAACACATGATAATATAATTAGTACGTACATTTTTGCCATGGATAAGATGTACACTGGAAATGATCAAAAGTTGCCAGATTGCCATCCTAGGCCTACAGTTTATTGGTATGCATCAATTAAAATGAGCATAGCTTGTGTTGTTATGATATTTTTAATTGTCTGTTGTATATGTCTAAGATCTATTCCAGGCTGTGACATATGCCAGAGTGTAATATTAAACCAAAGCTTACACTAAGCTGGTGAATAGAACTCATGACATCATTTTGTCTCCTGTTCAAAGAATAGCAGTATCATTTGACTAATATTGGAATCCTTCTTCCACAACAAGTGTGTAGTTTGCACAAGTCTTCACTTCACTCATATTCAGACATTAACAAAAAATCTGGGCTCCTAAAGACAGTGCAGAGTGAAAAAAAAGTGTTCCGTATAGTTCATGAATTAAAGTATCCAGCTAATATCCAGTGTGAATGAACTCATTGAGAAAGATGGGCTTTATGAGAAAGGATAGATTTTATGAGCAACTGGAGAAAACATCTTTCCAAGTTCCCAAAAATGATGTGAAAATAATATGCCAGCCTCCAGGTACCTAAAAATGAATGGTCTCATCATGCACACTGCACACATTGGAGGGAAAACAAAGGAGTTATCCAAGATGTCCATTCACTTCCCCCACTAATAGGCTTAGGCTGGTGATGTCTGCTTGTGCTTTATATACACTGGATCATTTCAGACTCTATCACTGTTTAGGAGAAGGAGATTGAAATGATGTAGAGGACATCACAAGCAATTTTTGACTTAACTTCATTGGTGGTCATATCTCCGCCATGAGTTATAGTCTACAAAGTGGGGGGATCACATGTTTGAGCATCTAATGTAGTAGTTATGAACCAAAACAACTTCGTGATCTGGATCACTTAGTTTCACGCCCCCTGATAGGACCCCACTTAAAGCGGTTGTGCTTTGCGTAGATGCATGTGGAATAAAGTTTGAATTTCTTTGGAAAATCATCGTGTGCTGGTTCCACAGTTTTTTAGGACCCCACTTTAATTCTCTAATGTTAAAGCCTGTCAAAGCACATGTAAACAGAATACGAATACATTAAGGGAAAAATTCAAAGAGTGCTGACAAAGCAACATGTTTTATACCCCTAAAGCCTTTGTTACCTACACCTACTCATTTTCAGGATTTTGTGAGTAGTATATCATATAAACAGTTTTGGGCTACCAAATGCATACTATGTAAAATTTAACTTGGGTCAAATTGCCCCATACATATGTGTGCAACACCCACTACATTGGCCATGGCCCCATGTGTTCTCATTTGTCTTCTTGATACTTTCAAGGCGTTGCGGGGCACTCTGTGGGCAACTAGCCCTCCGAACGCCCTGATAGTTTGTGTGTTCGCCGAACACACGAACTACCGATGTTCGAGTCGAACTGTTGTTGGACTCAAACATCGAGACCATCCCTACTGGTAACCTAATTCACCATGATGAGTATGTCTGCACCTGATTACAGGCCACTCATTTAGATAGTTTAGTCAAAGAGTACATACTTTTCTTTCACTGATTGTACCTACTTCTGGTACTAACATAGAATGTTACTAAGTCAGTGTTTGCTAGCGGTCAAGACTCTCTGGAGTGTACTTATCTGATCTATAAAAATATGTATATAATATGAACTCTGCAACCTTCTTTGCTAATAATAATTGATGCTACCATAGGTATTTCCATTCAATTATAGTAACTCAGCAGTTAGCGCAGTTTGCACTCAGCACTATCTACCTTAAGAAAATGTTTTAAAATTAATTTGGGTGCAGTGCTGCATGACCGAGTAATTGTCAGTCAAACAATCACAGTGCTAAACTGAATGAAAAATGAAAAATCACCTGGTAATGGAGGGGTATATACAGACTGGTGCTCAATTTGTTAAAGTTGCTATTTATATCATACATAATAATTGATCATAAATAGAGCAAACAAATTAAAATAAAGGTAATTACAGATCTGGCTGTCAGCAGCACATACTGTATATGTAAAAAATCGCCTGTGATATGGTGTATAATTGCTGTTTCTGACTAATGAAGGGCCATCTGGTAAGAAGACTTTGTCGCAGTATACACATCAGCTTTATTAAGTATCACCCTAAAGTATATAAATATCACTCCTGAATATACTGTAAATCAATAAGGCGTTACATCCTACATCCTATTTCAGAAACTTCCTCCCTCGTTTCAGCTACCTGATGTCCAACTTCTAAACTGTCGTTATGTAGATCTTTTTTTTTCTTATGGATGTATTGCAGTTATGTATTTAACAGGTAATTTAGCATTAACATTTTGGTTCATGTAGCCAATGTACAATTTACCTACAGCTCTTACATTTGTGTTCTGTATTATTGCTACTTATTTGTCTGGGCTTTAAAATGAAGAAATACATTGATTTTAGGCAGCATTGCAGGGGAAAAATATTAAAAAGCAGTTCTCACTGCAGTTGTTTTTATTGATGTCCTCGGAAAACCCATGGCTTAAGATGTCCAGCGCTGGTTCACTTTCGGGGTAAATGGCACCTATCATCATTGTGTGAGCCAATGGCACCTGGCATCATTGTGTGGACACCCTGTGGGGCTGCTTTACCATACCAACCTTGTTTTTCAGTAGAATACCTAAGAGAACAGTACTGACATTGTAGCACCACTATCTGTAGTATTGAAGGCTGCCTGCCACAACAACTGGAAAACAAGAAGACCCGAGACATCAGGTGGTTGGCTGGGATAGTTTGAAAAAAAAGGTGCAAAAGGAGGGTACAGGGGAGAAAGCGGTTAGGGGTTGGAGTAAATTGGACGTTTTAAAGCCATAATTCCCCTTTTAAATCTATATTTGACGTATTAACTTATTATTTGGGTTAAACATTAAAACATTTATGTTGTCAGGTAACATTGGAATATTACAACAACACATACCCATGTAATTTCTCTAATATTATTATATTTATGTAACAGCGTCCTATTCAACGGCACTTAAGGTCTGACTAGCCACTTTTTGAAGTTTTGAATAGAGAGGGAAGGGGTTAAAAGTTTAGACAGGTTTTTGGTTTTATCTATGGGGAGATTTCCCCTTACTTCTTGCCCCTGTGATGCCTATAATAATTTAACAAAAAATTACTTTCTGAAATCTCCCCAATAGGGTCACAGTTGGTAATGAAAATTTGACAGATGCTCTAAGTCGCCCCCACTTTATCCAAAATAAAATAAAACAGTTTGGCTTTAATAGGACTTTAACAATCTATATTTATTTATAAAACAGTTTCAGTATTGACTTATATACAGAAATATATCAGGATGAAATAAAAAGTATTTGTTTTTAGCTTGCATAACATAATATAAATTGTACTACTATATATTATGCTAGTTATTTGTTTATTAATAGTGTTTTAATCACATGATTTTTAAATGACAGCACTGATGCTTTTTCAATAATTTAATGTATGTGTTTATTCACAGGGAGACAAGGGTGTGACTGGTGCTATAGGACTCAAGGGCCCCCCTGGTAGACCTGGTGCTATTGGCCCAGCTGGGCCCCCAGGACCAGGTAATAAGGACACTTATAACTAACGTTTAATAGAGGAAATATTAATAAGAGCACTGTACAGTTAATTAAAAGAGAAAATAATAACACCAATCAGGTCTTTTGTATATGCTTCAGTGGGCTAAGAAAACATGACAGTCAAACTCTGGGCACTGCACATTTAAAAAAAAACAGCAGATAGCAAAGGAAGTATTAGCTTCTTTGCTATCAGCCATTATTTCAGGGGGGTGCTCTCTTTCTTGTTGTGGGCACCTCCCTGAAATGAGAAGGGCACCTTCCTGAAATGACTTATTTCAGGTTGGGATCCCTGCTATGGGCAGGGCTGATTGTATCTTATGTAAAAGTAGGACTGTGCCTATAAATGTACACATTGCTACAATATTCCAAGCTAGGTGAGGACCAGTAAAAAAAAAAATACACATGAGATAATATAATATATAAAATTAAGATGATTTATGTGTAAAAGAGGGAGTCCTATCATTTAGGTGATACTTTGGGTGCTGAATGTTTTGTGCCTATCTCTGAGTCTGTGATTGACATTTGCACCACCATATTTTCAAAAGGAGGAGAAAAAAACTCACATCAATCAAAACTGAAATGTCAGGTTTTTGTTGGATGAATTCTTTAATTTATTGTTCTTTGTTTCCACATGTGAGCTCACTGTGCAGACCAACACAGACTAACTTTTGTTGATAATGTTCTTAAGCCTTCTTATCCACGTGAACTTGGTGCTGATTATAGTGCATTTGACACAATTTGCCTGCGCCGGTTTTTTTTCTGTGTTCTACCAATGTTTCCTAAAAACACACTGTCATCATCACTATTTCAGCTCAACTAATTAATGGACCAAAAGGAGAGAGAGGAGTTCCTGGTCCTCCAGGAAGATGTCACTGCAAACACCTGCAGTCTGTGGTTCACCCTCAAGAAGAAGAGACGATTAATGGACACAACTATGCCAAGGTAACCTGGCTACATTTGCATCTAATCTACATTGAAATAATCCCAGTCTACTGAGCACCACCAACTCTATGCCTGTGTAATAATACATTTCCACATGCAGACTGAAACAAACATTCACTATTTCTAATAAAACAGAACAATTGAAAATCGCTGCAAAAAATATTTTGCCATGACAGAAACGTTGTTTATATTAACAATATATAGCTCTTCCATCACTGATATGTGAGCACATACTGTATAATGCAATTATTGCAGCGAGGAAATGGAAAAGCTCCTGTCCTGTTGTCTTTGGGAAGTTTCACCCTCTCATTTATCCTGGTGACAGTTGTTTTAGGTACAGAAAGTGATGAGAAAACCAGTATTTTAAGTTGTCACTAGAGGGAAAATCATCTGATGGGAACTCCTGTTCCATTGACAAATTTCTAAGAGGAAATTGCCATCGCTTTGAATAGATTTCCTCTTACTGTTGTGTCTTTAAACAGGAAGTAAAAGGAAATCTTCCCGATGGGACACAGACAAAAAAAAAACCTGAAAGGTGTCTTAACCCTTCTATATTCTATCCACAATGTAAAAAAGTTTTGGCTTTACATACAGGTACATTTAAACAAAGCAGCTGTTGGCTCTTATATATTGCGGTGGAACAATGGGTATTAATGATAATGTAGTATTTATAGTTTATTCTTTGTACACAAGATATTCCTGGTTAACACACAAGAGGAGCTGGACAGCTTGGATATTGAAAATGCCTTGGCGTTTCGTAAGGACCTGAGATCCCTTTATTTTAGAGACTCAAATGGGTGGCTGCCTATTCAGGTAAAAAAAATACAATCTTTCTAGTAAAGATATCATACCCTTTGATGTGTTAGTGTATCATACTCCTAATATTTATCCTGTGGTTTGATAGCATTACCTGTAGTGCCTTTCAATAACTTGGAATGATATACTGTACACTCACACATCTAGAATGGTAAATATAAACGTAACTTTGTAATTCACTTACTCTCTTTGCAATATATATATTAAAACATTGAGAATCCTGTACAATGGTATGTATTAAAGATTGATGCTGATTGGTTGCCATGCACAGCTGCTCCAGATTTTGTCTGTTCCATTTTTGATCAATTCCCCTCAATGTGTGTTGCTTTATAGACTTTAATCATTGGAGCATTGTTCCACTTATTTTGTACACAGTTAAATGAAACCTCTTGACCATTGCACTCTAGCACAAACAAAAATATAAAGGTATTGCAGCTTAAATGACATGTTGTGATGGCTGCATTTGTTTCCTGTTTTCATGCTAAGAACATTTTTAGCAAGTACAGTAAATACCTGTATGGTACCCCATTGTCCCTGTGTGTGTTGTAAAGTAGCCACCACTGCAAGCTCGCTTTGTGATGGACAACAATCTCAATTCAAATTAGTAAACTAAACGTGAGAGAGTGGTCCATCAGGAAGCGAGCTTGGAGTGGTGACTACTTTACAACACACACAGGGACCATGGGGAAGAAAAGTAGTCCCCTCCAGAAGGAAGGACAGTATCAGCACCAATTCAGAGATGATTTGAGGATGTATAGCTGAATGATACACAAATAAAATACATTTTTGTTAATAGTTAAGGTACATGAATACATTTTAAGATTTAACTCCTGAGTTTAATGTCACTTCAATTTAAAACCAGTTAAATAACATAACTGTATTTGAGTGGATTGAATTGCCACACTGAAATGTAATTATTCTGAGGTTATTGGTATTCTTTCAGACCACCACTGTTCTGGCTGATGCCAGCAGCACCTGTGGAGATGGAATAGTTCAACATGGAGAAGAATGTGATGATGGAAACAAAATTGTCACTGACAGCTGTATAAGTATGTCTAAACTTCCTTCAGGGATAAATTCAGAGTGACAGTAATTCATCAATATAGCTTAAATTGTATATCAAGTTGAATGTTGGGTATTTTTAATATAAGTAACAGAAGGTAAAAGAAAACTAAAGCACTCTAAGGGTTGTTCGTTCATTACCAGGAACTGTACAGTTGTATTACCAATAGTCCTTATACACATGGATACCTAGGAAAACATTCACCTTGTGTTCTATTACTACAGACTCAACATGAATTGCAGCATTTATTGTTCTTCTATCACTACTTCACTTCCTTAGGATATCACCAGATCTTATATACATATAAGAATTACTGGTGTATAATGCCTAGTAAAGTATTCACCTTGTGTTGAATTACTATAAACTCAACACTGATTGCAGCATTTATTGTTCTGCTATCACTCCATTAGGATATCACCAGATAATGAAACATGTATCTTCCTCTTGGTTCACATGTATCCTTATTTCAGTATGTATTTAGAAAGGTATGTTAGTTGAAACCTTTGAGAACAATTTGTTCTAGCAGGTTAAGCATAGATTTCAAAGGGTCAGCAAGATCATCTTGGGAGTAGCAATATAAGGCCATCAGTGTAATTTGGGAGGTGGGATCATACTATGCCATTAGTGAAGGTTGGGAGTTGGGATCATATTATGCCATTAGTGTAGTTTGGAAGTTGGTATCATACTATGCCATTAGTGTAGGTTGGGAGTTGGGATCATACTATGCCATTAGTGTAGTTTGGGAGTTGGGACCATACTATGCCATTAGTGTATGTTGGGAGTTGGGACCATACTATGCCATTTCTGTAGGTTGGAAGTTGGTATCAAATATGGCATTAGTGTAGGTTGGGAGTTGGGATCATACTATGCCATTAGTGTAGGTTGGAAGTTGGTATCATATCATGCCATTAGTGTAGGTTGGGAGTTGGGATCATACTATGCCATTAGTGTAGGTTGGGAGTTGGGACCATACTATGCCATTAGTGTAGGTTGGGAGTTGGGACCATACTATGCCATTAGTGTAGGTTGGAAGTTGGTATCAAATATGCCATTAGTGTAGGTTGGGAGTTGGGATCATACTATGCCATTGGTGCAGGTTGGGAGGTGGGATCATACTATGCCATTAGTGTAGGTTGGAAGTTTGTATCAAATATGCCATTAGTGTAGGTTGGGAGTTGGGATCATGCTATGCCATTAGTGTAGGTTGGAAGTTGGTATCATACCATGCCATTAGTGTAGGTTGGGAGTTGGGATCATACTATGCCATTAGTGTAGGTTGGGAGTTGGGACGATACTATGCCATTAGTGTATGTTGGGAGTTGGGACCATACTATGCCATTAGTGTAGGTTGGAAGTTGGTATCATACCATGCCATTAGTGTAGGTTGGGAGTTGGGATCATACTATGCCATTAGTGTAGGTTGGGAGTTGGGACGATACTATGCCATTAGTGTATGTTGGGAGTTGGGACCATACTATGCCATTAGTGTAGGTTGGAAGTTGGTATCATACTATGCCATTAGTGTAGGTTGGAAGTTGGTATCAAATATGCCATTAGTGTAGGTTGGGAGTTGGGATCATACTATGCCATTGGTGCAGGTTGGGAGGTGGGATCATACTATGCCATTAGTGTAGGTTGGAAGTTTGTATCAAATATGCCATTAGTGTAGGTTGGGAGTTGGGATCATACTATGCCATTAGTGTAGGTTGGGAGTTGGGATCATACTATGCCATTAGTGTAGGTTGGGAGTTGGGATCATACTACACCATTAGTGTAGGTTGGAAGTTGGGATCATACTATGTCATTAGTGTAGGTTGGAAGTTGGTAGTATACTACGCCATTAGTGTAGGTTGGGAGGTGGGATCATACTACGTCATTAGTGTAGGTTGGAAGTTGGTAGTATACTACGTCATTAGTGTAGGTTGGGATCATACTACACCATTAGTGTAGGTTGGGAGTTGGGATCATTCTATGTCATTGGTGTATGTTGGGAGGTAGGATCACCATTGGTATATGTTGGTGGGTAGGATCACACTACGCCATTAGTGTGGATTAGAGTTGCAATATAAGGCCATTGTACTACACCATTAGTATATGTTCGGAATTGGAATCATTAGGACATTAATGTATGTTGTTGGGTGGGAAGGTGTTTCATATATTACAAAGTTTAGTGAAAGTTATTTTCATTCTCTATTGTCATTCTCATAACCTGTTAATGCAAACTCCTAGAATGCAAGCATGCATCTTGTGGAGATGGCTACCGACAAGAGGGAGTAGAGGAATGCGATGGCAAAGATTTTGGCTACCAGTCCTGCAGAACATATCTACCAGGGTATGTATGATCAAAACATTCTTTGTATTTCATATGATACTGCCAAACAGAAAGCTTCAACTGTGTCTTTAAAGAGAAACACCATTCAGGACATAGTGGCATTGTCTGTGTAAAGCTGACCCCCCAACCACTTTATACTTACCTCTCAAAACACTCCCCCACCACTACTTCCTCCATCTCAGCTACCACCAAATTAACTGGTGTTGGCTGGTGTCAGATCTCCAGGATACATCTCCCACCCGTCATGTCACAGTGGTCAGGCCTAGTGATTTGCCGCTAGGCCTAAGCACTGCAACACAGGAGGAGGTCACATCATGCCTGCCTCCATGCCTGCAATCACTGGGTATTTTCCAGTGGCAGCCACAGAAGAAGGAGCAGTGGAGGAGTGCCAGAAAGGTGAATATTCTGTAAGGTGGTGAAAGGGTTAAATGTATGTCATGTTGTTGTTGTAGCCATGTACACTCACCTATTCCAGGAACTACCGGTAAGCCAACAGCTAGATCTTGGCATTAAAAAGCACTGATGATCGGAAATATTAACACTTACATTTACTATGTTCACAAGAACGAAATTTCTGTCTTTTCATAATGAAATATCAGGAGCCACAGAAAATTCCAGAGGGGAAGAATAGATAAAAGATAAACAAAAACAAGGCATATTTCTAAAGCAGTGAATGTGGCATTCACCAAACATTTGCTGCAGGTGAATCTGTTTTAAATGACAGCAATTTATTTACCACCTGTGAATGTTTGGTACATGTTACATTCACGACTTTTTAAATATGCCCCTAAACAAACTCCAGATCTATTTTTCAGTATGTTTGGCATCATACTTGATTGGAATGTGTTGCAGGTAAATTATAGTTGCCGGTGTCATTTTGTTTACCTATAAAATAATGTTTGGTATCATGTCTGACCGTGTAAAGTTATCTTAAAGAGGAACGCCAGGAAAAACCTTTCTTAACCCTTGCAGTGGGGCTACCTCCGCGCTGTAATGTTTCTGCACTTGTTTTCATCTAGGTGCAAAAATAACAAAGTTATATGCACCCGAACCTCGCAGCCGGCTGGCTGTTAGAGCGCGCCCTCCAGCCTGTCTTCTCCTCCATTCCAGTGATGGAATGTCCCTCGAAATCCTCATATACAATGTATTGGACATGATGACTCACGGGACCTTAGACTGCTGGAGTGGAGGGGCAGAGAGTCTGGAAAGACCTGTCTAACAGCCAGCTGGCTGTGAGGATCGGGTGAGTATAACTTTTCATTTTTGCACCTGCAATACGAAACCGAACACTTAACCCTTGCAGTGCGGGGTAGCCCCGCTGCAAAGGTTGCAACATTTTTTCCTGCAGTTCTTCTATAAATCATTTTTTTTTATTAAAGTGACACTAAAGTCAGGAATTAAGGGGGTTATTCACTATTGAGCAGAAGGATACAGCAGTAACTTCCGCTGATCTTTCGTCTCTCTTCGGCCAACAGAAGGGCTGCTGTATGGGTTATTCACAATAGCCCATACAGCAGCCAAAGGCGGCCAAGTGGCTCAGCCGAGCCTAAGGCATATGCTTTGGCTCGACTGAGCCGAAGTGACAGCCAAAGCGGGGCAAATGGCCGGCCGTTCGCCCTGCAAATGACAGCTGGGCGGAGCTAGCCACAATCTCATGGCTGACTCCACCCAGTTGTAATGACCGATCAGCGTCCCCCAAAAACCTGGGGACGCTGATCTGTCATTAAACAATAGCAAGTGGGCAGGGTCCGCCGTGACGTCATGGCTAGCTCTGCCCAGTTGTTATTCATTGGCCGGCACCTGCTAGAAGCCTCTAGCAGGTGCCGGCCAATAGGAAACAGTAAGGCGGAGCTAGCTGTTACTGCTAGCTCTGCCCAATTGTTTTTCTTTTGCCAGCATCTATGCCGGCGTTTTTTACAATTTTTTTTAATTTTTTTTTTTTCTGTGAACTATTTTAATTATTTTTTTATTTTCCTACATGTAAAAACAATTTTTCAACTTTTAAAATTTTTTTATTTGATTTATTTCACTTATTTTCTATTCTGCTCAGCACCTCCGTGGTACCGAGCAGAATAGAAAATAAATGAAATAAGTAAAATCATTTTTTTTTTTTTTTAAAGTTGAAAAAGCAGAGGCATTCGGCTATTCACTCACTGCGAATGAGAATAGGGGCGAGCGACAGCAAGTGAGCTGCTGGAGCTTCGGCTCAGCCGATCCAGATCTGAAATCAGCCGTACTGAGCAGAAGTGAATAGTCGAACAGCGTTCGGCTCACCAGATTGAGAACACAAGAGTCCTCAATCTCTTTTTCTGTATCCCCTGTTATCAATGAACAGGAATCCTCTATGAGTGTTCCTGTTCATTGATAACATGAGTACATTGTGTGTTTACTATAACTACAACTATGAATGAACAGGAGGTGATGTAGATCACTCCCATTCATTCATAATTAAGGATATATTAACCATACCATATGCTCAATTATCTACAATCACTGATCGCTGAGTGTTTGTAGCCTGCTCTCCTTTCGGACACACACTGTCACAGGAGGCTGAGTGAGCGATGCGAGAGGAGAGCCCAGCCTCCTGTGACAGCGCTGTCTCCGCCCCTACACCACTCTGCCGCACTGTGATAGGCGGCCGAGTGGTGTGGGAGATGAGACACCGGCCGCTCACAGGCCTCTTGTCCCGCAGCTCTCGGCCGGCTGTCACTTTCTCTTCCCCCCGCTGGGACACAGAGCAGCGCCCAGCGGGGAGGAAAGAAGCCAGGAATGCGCCGATGTATCGACAGGAAAATGGCACTTTCGGCATTTAGCCAAAAGTGCCATTTTCGCCGCTATGTTTCGACCGCCGATATATCGGTGCATCCCTACTATTAACAAAAATGTATCTTATTTGTGTATCACTCAGCTGTAGATCCTCAAATCATCTCTGAATTGGTGCTGACACTGTCCTTCCTTCTGGAAGGTGGTTACTTTTGGTCCCCATGGTCCCTGTGTGTGTTGTAAAGTAGCCACCACTCCAAGCTCGCTCCTGTGATGGACTACAATGTGATGATATGAGGATTTAACGCCTGAGTTTAGTGCCACTTTAATGTGTTCCAAGACCTGCCAGTAACGGCACTTCCTGTTAGTGACAGCACAAAGCCATAGTCGGCTTGCAATGTGCATTCCTTTCGTTGGCCATTGGGCTGCCTATCAGGTGCATAAGATGTGTGCACAGCAGCCAACTAAAGGAGCACACATGGCAGGCTGACAAGGATTCTGCTAATTGTGACAGAAAGTGTGGTTACAGTAAGGTAAGAAACAAAAATGGTTTGCTTAGGAGAAAAACAATGAGGCCAAACATACTAAAAATAGATTTAGGGTTAACAAACACTTTAGACAATACTTACGTAGTGTTCAAACAAGCAGGTTAGTGGAAGTGGAAGTGTCTCAGTAAACACAATATAGTCAAACGGGGCAACGTCAAACAACAAAAATAGTTGTTAATATTAGGTATTCTTTTTCAACAGATCCTATGGACACTTGCGATGCACATCTTATTGCTACATTGACTCCACACAGTGCCGATACTTCACATGAAGAGCCAGTGGAGAGAAACAGAATACATTTTGATGTCACACAAACACTGGGTGCTAATGTAAAAGAAATTAAACACGACTGGCAATAGACTAACCTTCAAGTATGAGTGAAAGAGAAAAACCTGTTGCCGATGGCTTATTGAGAATTGTCATAAATATGTCTGACTGGAAGAAATAGGACCACTGCATCCTGTCTTAATAAAACATGTCAATCAATACTTGCCAGCACGAATTGTTCCTAATTTACCATCAAAATAGGAACTTTAATAGGCGAACACCTATGGCTGGAGCAGAGAATCTCACTCTACAGGAATATTACATTAACAAGACAACCTGACAAGATTACCTCGACTTAGCACTGTTAACCGTGGATAATGAACTTGTATGTTTTTTTCCTCTGTCGACTGTTATAAAATGAGCACCAAGCATACCCTGACTGTGGCATTTGCTGAAGAACATTTAACCTCTGAATAATAATGTGAAACTGGATTGTACTGTACCTGCTATGTTAATTACAAATGTAATGTATAGTCTGAAGTTCCTCTTGTGAATCTTATTGGTCTGGTGCACTGAAATAAGCAGGAAATTAAATAAGAGGAAGAAGCCAAGGAGAGGGATTTCTGGGAAAGAAGACTACATAAGGAGCAGATGCCTCACAGTCATTTGTGGTCAAAGTGGACAATAATGATGTAGACCAAATGCTCTAGGTTGCTCCAGCAAGAAAGAAACCAAAACATTGTGGATGATTCCTTATGTTATCGAATCAATGCCAATGCATGAAGCGGTATTCAGGGGTACTAAAGCTGACGAAGCAGCAGTTCAAATACATTGAAGGAAAAAAAAAATATTTAGCTTGTATAGTCTGAAAAAAATGGTCCTATATATGGCCAAATGGTTGCTTTTCTGCCTCATGTTTGGTAGGCCATGATAATACCGATTTCACCCCTATTTCATATTCAAATATAAAACTATTAAAGTGCAACATTTATAGAATAGCTGTATATTGGTATTTCTAAATATTAGATAGAAAGATCAAATGTAATGTACTGCTGTTCTAAGCACTCTGATATGAAGCTTAAAATTGCATCCTTTGGTACATGAATCAGTTCACCTTCTTATTTAATTTCCACCTTTTTTTTGTAAACCTTGTAATTTATTTTATAAATGTACATTTCTGTGTGCCTTTGTTGCTCCATTAATGTTATGCATACTTTATTGCAGAATTCTGCTCTTATTTTTTATTCAGTTATTACATTAGCCATCTGTGTGCATTAACGTCCTGTTTTGTCACATGTTGTAGAGTATGGTGTACTCTTGGTCCCATGTCTGTTTGGCAGGTTCCAAATGTCTATGTATTATGCATATGCTGTCTGCATTCTTTGGAACTTCATGCAGCCTGTTAAGTGTACATAGACATATATACGAATACTACAAGGTTTAAGTGGACTGAAAGAGCTCTAGACTGTTATTACAACAAACTAATATGCATATTAGTCTATGTTAAGTAATTTCCCATTGAAACGCCCAATGGGTCAGTTTACAGCAATCAAATAAAATAAGAAAATGATTGAACTTCGGCACAAGCATAGCAGATGAAGACTTGGCATGCATGTATTCCGGGATATGGCGACAGCATTGCAGTGTTGTCAGTGCGTTGCAGTATGAGCATCAAAATTATGTAATGCCATAAAAATGCGCTAGTGTATGTAGTGTTTGTATGAGTTTTTGTGTAATCACATGGGTCTCTTTATCTCTTGCATGCCCTTGATCATGGAACTTGCCAGTGAAAATAAAACAATCTCCTGTCTCAAAACAATCTCTAATCCTTTCACATCCAGAAAGCATTTTGTTGATTGTGATATATTAATTGGTGTGAACAGGTTCACAGAATCACAATTTATTAGTGTTAAGTTAATAAGGGCAAGTCCATCCAAAGGTGATATGATGAATATTATGTGTACACGGATAGAGAATTGGCAACAGGAGCGTACCCAGAGAGTATTGATAAATGGCTCATTTTCAAAATGGTCCAGGTTGTGAGTGGCATTACCCATGGCTCTGTCTTAGGGCCAATGCTGTTTAACCTGTTTATTAACAACAATGAGGTTGGTATTTATAGTCCTGTTTCAGTGTTTGCTAACAATACCAACATTTGCAGGATCATAAACTCAGCACAAGCCATAGCAGCATGACAGGAAGATCTAAATAAAAAAGGGGGATGGGCAACTACATGACCGTTGAGGTTTAGGCCTCATTCACACTGATAAGAGCCGGCCCGTACAGATCCGTGTGGCTGCACAGCCGTATCGGGCCACTCCCGGGAAGGACAGATGCTGCATGTGATCTATGGGAGTACACGCATGATTACCCGAGCTGCGCATCCATGCGGGTGTCCATACTCGTATGCAGACGGGATGGATCCTGTCTGCATCTGAGCACGGACACCCGCACAGATGTGCAGTTCGGGTGAGTGCACGCCGCACGGATCTGTACGGGCCAGCTCTTAGCAGTGTGAATGAGGCCTTAATATTGAATGTTACTCATTAGATGGAGCTCTTCTGGAGAAATCAGAGGTGGAAAAAGATTTGGGGGTCCCAGCAGACTTATAACATGCATTTCCAGTCTGCAGCAAATAAGACTGGCTGATACTATTGTGCATAAAAAGGGTATTTACGGCAGAGACAAATCAATCATTCTACCACTCTATGAAACACTGGTTAGGCCTCATCTTGAGTATGTGGTTCAGTTTTGGTTGCCGATCCACGGAAGGGAAGTCCTTGAGCTTGAGAGAGTCTAGAGAAGGACAACAAAACTTATGAGAGGCTGGAGGACCTAAACTATGGGTAAAAGATTACAAAAATGTATTTAAATTAAAAACTTATTTACTGTCAAGTACCTGTCGACCCAGCACCTGTTTAGTAGCTGTGTGGGGATTAGAACCTGGGCCCCTGAGGTGAGATGCCGAAGCCTTACCTTTCAGCAACTGGGAGGACTCAGCTTTCACTGCAGGTTGCACCACTCAGCAGCTTTTCTTCTGGACTCACCTGCTTACTAGCTGCAGTAAATCTGTAATCAGCTCAGCCTATTACCCATTTATTTGGGTTCGTTCCCTAGTGTACTGTCTTTGTATTGACTGCTGGATTTTCATCGTGACTTTAGCCTGTTTTTCAACTATCCTTCTGCCTGCTGACTTTGTACCCCACTGCCTGTTGGCGATTCGCGGTAAAAAAAAACCCGCAGGACAAACGCACGTTTCCGAGGGCTACCTGGCTGTATCTCAATGGATACACGCGGCAAATACGCCCCAAAGAAGCTCCTGTACTTCTTTGGGCGTAGGGTGTTTTGCAGCACGTTCCTACGTTCCAACCATTACCATAGGCAATCATTGGTTTTCACATGTTGAGCGTTTTACAGAGCGTAGGAACGCGCTGTAAAACGCCCAGATGTGAACCATGCCTTAGACCTCTGTCTGCTTCTCCACTACCCTCCTAGATCCTGGTTTTGTATCTGTCTGCCAGCCTATTACTGATTCTGCTTGCCTGTCTTTGCCATATCCTTAGTCTAAGCTCCACTTTGGATGCTACCTACAGCAGCTACCTGTCATTTACTCTGAAAAAGAGGCAACTAAGAGGGGATATGATAGTAATGTACACATTTTTTAATGGTGATGGTAGAATCAGAATTAAGACAAGAGGTCAAAAAATTGGAAGAAAAAAACCTTTACTCTCAAACTGCAAAGGAGATTCTTTACTAAAAGAGTGGTAACATTGTGGAACTCCCTTCTCTGGGTAGTGGTATCAGCTGAGATTATAGACTCATTCAAGAAACTCTTTTTTAGATGGCTGAACGGAAGAAATTGACGCAATTCCTCCATCAACATAAACAGCGTGTCGATCAAGGAATCACCAGTGTTTGCATTATATTCTGACAGGTGCCGGCAGCACCTGCCAGAATACCTAATCAGAGGAGGCAGCTCATTGGCTGCCGGGTCTGATCGTACAAAGATTTTCCAGCCGGCTTCTACGATCAGTTGATCGAGGAATGCCGGCTTAAAGGGATCCGACAGCCCCATACACTGGCCGAATTTCGCCCAGTACATTAAAAAATGGTCGAAATTTGGCCAGTGTATGGGCACCTTAAGTCTCTGCCGGACCCAATCAGCAAAAAAAGGGAAAAGAGCTGGCACGCGTAGGAATCCTCTTAATGGCATCTCTTTATTGAAAAGGCATAAACGCAACTGCAAAGATTGCTAACATGTTTCAGTCCATCAATGGACTTTAATGATAGCAATAAAATCACAAAAATAAAAGGCAATAAATACAAAAACATAATGGGACACCCACTGACAACACACTCCAACATGTGTGCACATATACCTGGCGCGTTAACCCCTTCAATGCTAAAACAAAAAATAAGTTAAGACAATCCATCATGCCTTAAAAGGGACAAAATTGAAGTGAAATAGTTTGATACATAAATGTATTCATAGCAGATTACATTGTATTGTGTGTATTCTGTGTAAATGTCATGTTTCCACTTTTGAATTTCCCGCCGGCTTCGACGCCCGAAAACGAAACTAAAACTCAAGATGCCGGCCGCGTACAGCAGAGGACGCGGCGGGCTCGCAGGGACAAGGTAAGTGACACTTTTCTGTGCATTCCCGAGTCTGGCTTGGGATTACCGCTCCTGGTACTGAAAGTTAACCCCAGCCAGACTCGGGAATACCGCTAGGGAGGTTAAAGAGGGAGTTAAATCTCTCAATGATACATCACACTTGGGAGTGACACAGGTAAAACAAGCAGGATTTCAACACAACGCATGTCATCATACATGGACATAAATATACCCCAGCTGTCGCTGAATCCTATGTCCTTCAATATACTCCAAGAAATGGATTTTACAGTAAATACAAAAATCTAAGGGGGTTATTCTCTAAAGAGCCGAAGGATCCAGCCGCAGCTTCAGCTGATCCTTCGGCTCTCTTTGGCCACCTCTGCCCTTCGCTTCAGTCGAACCGAAGGGCTGCTGTGCAGGCTATTCACAATAGCTCGTAGAGCAGCCGAAGGCAGCGGAGTGGCTCAGCCGAGCCAAAGGCATATGCTTCCGCTCGACTGAGCCGAAGTGAGAGCCGAAGTGGGGAAAACGGCCTGCCAAAGGGCCAGCTGTACGTCAAGCCGATAAGGGAAGTCCAGTTTTCGTAGTCAAATAACAGTCCAAGGTCGATGCAGGCGGAGGAGGTTCTCATGCGTTTATACAAGCCAAGGTCAGTGCGGCCAGCTGCGGTTCAGAAACAATAAACAAGCAGGGATCAGGAATACAGGCACAAGGGTCTGAATGCCGAGGAGTCAGGAACAAAGGTCTGAACTCTGGGAAGCTCACTAATAACTGAGCACTGTGCTCTCTGAGCAGCAGTGCTTTATAGGAAAGGTCTGCTGATTAGCAGTTATCAGAGAGGGTGTGGTGACAGGTGAGCATTCACACGTTTCCTCTAAAACTGGCCATACACTTTACAACCATCGCACGACGTTAGTCTTGCGATGGTTGTAAGGTAATTAAAAAAACGTACGATCTGCCCATCTTGGACAGGCAGATCGTACTTACGATCATCGCAAGCCCGCCCCGCTGAGGGCTTCCGATGACCGCAATGCTGAGCGGGCAGTGCGGCATTTGTCTTACGAGCATGCCACAAACCCTGCCGAAAATCTTACGTTTTTCGGCTGGTTTTCAATCGTGCTCGTAAGACAAAAGACGTGCGACCGTACAGTAGAAACGGTCGCACGCCTTCCATACACTTGACGATCATACGATAACCGGCAGGTGTATGGCCACTTTAAGACTGGCCATTCTCCTTACAATTTATCTGCCGATTTTCTGTGGTCAGATGGAAAAGGTGCAACAGATTCCTCCATCTACACTTAACTGTGGGGGATGGAGGAATCTCCCACTGGGCCAAGCTTCA